GCTTGGGAGGGCAGGGGTTGGGGCGGGGCTGGGAGCGGCGGAAGCCGCAGGAGTAGTGACATGGCGGCACGGCGTGCTGGTTAATTACAGAAGGCTTGGCTGGACTGGTAGCAGCAGCAGCAGCAGCAGCAGCGGCGGCGGCGGCGGCAGCAGCAGCAGGAGCAGCAGCAACAGCAGCAGGGGCAGCAGCTTGAGCACCAGTAGTTCGAGCAGCAGCCGCAGCAGCCGCCAGCTTGCAAGGCACATCCAAGCGTCACGCTGTACGAGCCAGCGAGCGCAGCTCGCCGCCAGCCAGCCGGGCAAGCATGCAGGCACACAACTATGCCGTCTGCATGCGTCTCGCTCCGCCCGTTGACCCCCGCCCCGCCCGTCGTGGCCCCGCACGGGCCCCCACCCCAGGGCCGTCCTGGTGGCGCTCAGCGCCATCAACGAGGAGGAGCTGGACCTGGACGTGGCGACGCACCCGCTGCTCAACATCCTGTACTACGGCCTCGCAGAGATCATCCCCTCTGCCTGGGTGCTCTTCATACTTCGGAAGCTGCCGCCCAGGCGCGCCCCCCAGGGCTACCAGACGATACCCGCCAGCGCATGAGGGAGGGAACGCTGACCTGGGGCGCGGCGGGGCGTCGCCAGGTTGGGTAGAGATTCGTCGTTCGATTATTGTGTACCTAATGGCAGCGCAGCGCAGCGTGCGTGGTGTATGGCGTGCACTTGTTCCGCCCTGCTTTGCGAGTGACACCCACGCTGTGTGCTGTGCGCGCCGCTCCTGCCTCTTACGAGCTCTCTGCATTCATGTCGCGACGGGCATGCAGCAACATGCGTGCCCACTTCCATTGATGACTCTATAGCTGCCTACTTCTCTCATTCTCCTCCTCCGTCATTGCGCAATCCTTCACAATTGGATCATTTTGCCATGCCAGCCCCCCAGTGTAACATGTTGCTGCTTGCTACAGCCAGACCGTGACTGCTCGATGAATCAATGGGAACACAGACCATGCACAGTAAAGCCTTACACATCGCCCACAACAGGCGGAGGGCCGCGCGGCTCGCACTCCGCCCGCGCGTCGCCGCCCGATCAGGCCTTGTAACCGCGGCTGTTCCTGCGGCCGCGCGCCTTCTCGAACTTGCGGCCCTTGGAGCGCACGTAGGGCTTGGTGCTGGAGTGCGGCACACCGGGGGCGGGGCCGAAGTGCTTGACGGCCTCGCGGTTGTTCTTGGGGCCGCGCAGCAGGACGCAGTCCTTGCCGGTCGGGCGCTCAAGGGCGAGCTGGTCAAAGGTCAGGCACTCGCCGCCGGCCTGGAGGGACGGGGGGTTCGGGCGGGGGTGCGTGAGGCCGGGGAACGGCACAGCACAACTGGTCACAACAGACTGCGTCTGCCAACAGCCGCAACGCCGGCAGCCCTGCCGCTGTCCACGCCCAGCATACTGGGCACACTACCAGCCTGGCCAGCAACGAATTCGCTGGTGCTAACGCAGCGGCCGGCTCGAGGCTGCGGCCGCTGCCCCCAGCCCCTCCACGGCGCCGCCGCAGGCCGCACCTTGACGATGCGCGCGCGCGCGGTCTCGGTGAAGCGCAGCGCGGTCACCCGCAGCTTGGGCACCTCGTGCAGGCGCACGTCGTCCGTCACGGTGCCCACCAGCACCGCCACCTTGTCCTCCTGGAGGGCAAGGCGGACAGCGGAGGCGGCCGTGAGGGGCCGAACAAGTGCGGCTGAACCCACCGCGATCGTTCGTTGGGTGCCTCTCACGGGAGCAGCAGCGACGCGTCCGTTGACCTGCCAGCCACTGTTGTGCCTGCTGCTGCCACAGTGATTGGGACGTGGGCCCTGCCGCGCCAGCCCCGCCGGTCACGCTCCCCTCAGGCGCCATTCCAGCTGCCGCAGCGGCCGCAGACTCATTGTCGCGCCAGCACCGCCACTGCCTTGGCTTCCGCTGCCGCGGCTCCTCTGACGGTCTGGCCGCCCCTGCTCAATGGTCCCTTGCCTCCATGGTGATTGCTGCACCCTCTTCTGCTCGTCCCAGAAGCCGCAGCTCATCAGCCCGGCTCACTGTGGCCACACGCCACACCGTAAGGCAGGCCCATGGACGCCCCTCCTGTCCCCCGCATTCCCGTGCCCCTGCCCCACCTTGCCGGCCATGAACTTGGCGAGCTTGGAGAGGGACAGCGGCGGCCGGTTGATCTTGCTCATGAACAGCCGCTTGAGCACCACCGCGTTGAAGTTGCTCTCCGTGCGGCGCTCCAGGAAGCGGTACAGCTGCAGCGCGCGGGCGGGCGGATGGGCGCGCAAGCAGGCGCGCGTCGTTTGCATTTTGGCCACAGTTGGGCTCGCGAACTTATGATCTCATACAAAGGGTGGGCTGTTGCAGGGACAGAACATCCACCTCAAAGAGATATAACATTGAACCCCGACCCGAGCCTCCTGCCGCAGCAGCGCTTTGATGCATCCAAGCTTGCGCAGCCATTACATGGTCCGCCAGGTGCAGCTCCCATGCCGTAACCCAAGCTGCGCCACCGCCGCGCGCACCTTCACCAGCAGCTTCAGGTACACATTGTCGCTCTTTGGAGCGGTGCGGTGCTTCTTGGTGTTGCGGCCGCCAGCCACCAGGTCGATCCCCTGCAAACGGCGGCAGCGGCGATCGGACGCAGCAGCAGCAGCGCCGCCGCAACACGCTCGTCAGCGCACGACGTGCAGCCAGCCACAAAACGACCACTGCGTATCTCTGAACTCTCAAGTACCCACAACGCCTTTGCGCTATGACTCTGGGGAGGAAAAAGCAGCATTGCACTCGCTGGTGCCAGGGGCGAACCAAACATCGCAGCAGCATGGCGATAAGGTTCGCTCATACATCAAAACGCGCTGATAGGCACTTGGACGGCCACGGCCACTGCACTGATCCGCTGGGGCCGCCCGCGGGCAAGGTGAGTGTCCCGCACCATGTTTACGAGCTGCTGCTGAGCTCCTGATAGAGTCCAAGTGCAGCTGAGAGAGGGCGAGAGTGAGCGGCAGCGCGCACCTTGTGCGCAGCTTGCGTCGGCTCCCGAGCTGCCGCTGTGGCAGTCGACAAATGACAAGTGGTTCGACGCCCATTCAGCACGCTACCACGTACCGCTGTTGTGGCAGCTTCAGGCCTCGTGCATACCCTGGGAGTACATCGCTTTGCCCATGGAACGCCGGATGCTGCTACCCGGGTGTTGCTGGTATATGACGGATATGCTGGTGTGATGTTGCCAGCTCAGTCCTGTAATATGTTTGCCATTCTCATGCCCTCACTATGACTATGCCATAGGTCAGTCCTCCGAATTCAACCCCTGGTTTGCGTACCTGCTGTGCCTGTATTTGCGACTTGCCTGACCTCTCAACCCCCTCCTCAGCCCGCACGCAACATACTCCTGACCCCCGTGCCCAGCTGCTTTACCCACCTCAACCAGCTGCACGCAATGCGCTTTGACGCAGTGACTGTGGCACACATTGCAGCCGCCCTCACAAAAAAAGCTGTCGACCACGGTGCCTAAGCACGAGGGGATGAAGTGGCCTGCAAGATGCCGAGGGGAAAGTCAGGAGTTGCAACACAGGCTTCGTGAAGCCCCATAAGGTGCTGCGGCCATTAAGCGACCTCTGCTTGCTCGCTGAGAGTATCCAGGAGACTGCTGCAGTTAATGTTGAAAGATTGACAGTGATTTCGCACGTCTAGGCCATTTCTTTTTGGCACCTGGTGTCACGCCTGTTCATTGCTGTGCTGGCGAGACCTGCTACCTTGGGGCAGCTCGTTGGTGCTCACTGCCGCATCACACTAGCACTTTGTCACAAGAAATGTGGAGTGCTATGGTGCAGCGCACAAGGTGAGTAGCGGTGGCGACGTGATGGTGGGATTGGGGAAGCAATGAGAAGTAAGGACAGTTGTGAGAGGAGGTTCGTAGGTCGTACAAAGCGTGCTCAGTCCTCCAGGGTGCAGAGCATGCGCATCATCATCGAGTCCAAAGCTATGCAGCTCTGAAACACGCATTGCCCAGGATATGTTGGGTGTGGCCGCCACTGCCACGTCCTTCGTGTGGCTCGTTGACCGTGCAAGCGGACGGTCAGAATGCACTGCACGGTTGGATTACCCTCCCCCGAACAGGCTTGCACAGCTTGAGCGCAGATACATGCAGATTATCATTGGACTTTACCTGCTCGGTCTCCAACCCCGTACTGTTGCGCGCCCATCGGCCATCAAACCACCCCCGTTACGTTCGCCCGACCAGCAGAGGTGCTTGTTTATATCGTGATAAACATCATATAAAACGTTTTCGCAGCAGCGGGCTGCCGAGCCGTGCTCGGCACCCCAGACATGCAGGGTGCCAAGGCCGCGCTGCTGAACTATGTCGAGCACGAGGGCCTCGCCAAGCTGACCATAACTATTTTGGCCGTGACATGCGTGGGCTGCCTGGCCTATACCTGGGGCTATGCTGAGGTGCGCCACACCAGAGTGCAGCGCCTGACGCTGCAGCGGCGCACCTGATTGCTCGGGCTGCGGGGCATCGGGGACAGACCATGCAAAGCAACGAGGGGCGGTTGGCTTGAGGTTTTCATTGTGCATGTGCTGCTGTGATTCAAGCACAACCTTGGGATCCTTGCACATGCTGCTCTCCCCCAACGGACCGAAAACCGCAGGGCGTGCACAACGCGAACGCGGTCCTGCCGTCGCCGACCGTTTCGGGCGGCCACGGCCATTTTGGGGCCCATGGAATGCAACACAGCTTGAGCAGCAGCAACAAGACCGCTGGCGTAAGCACGGGCGGCCAGCAGGGGGACGGCGTGGATGGCGGAGCGCAGGTGCAGCGGATAGCGGGCGTAGGCAGGGACGTTGCAGCTGGCGGCACCGAAGTGGCGGGTACAGGCGTCCAACATGCATCACTGCTTAGTGATAGCAGTGATATTGTTGGCCGCAGCAGCAGCGGCAGCAGCAGCGGGACACACAGCAGCAGCGGAGCGATCGGCGAGCCGACAGGTGATCCAGCAGCATCCCCTGGCCACCTGCGACACAGACGGCCTCGCAAAAGCCTTGCCCCGGCGAGTGACGACAGCTTGAGCAGAAGCGCAGCGGATGATCTGGGGGCTGGGGGTCCAGGGTCAGCTTGACCGTCCATGCCTGTGCTTTACCGCCGTCACAAGCAGGGGCGTTCTGAGCAGCAGGCAGGCGACCAAGCAGGCAGCAGCAGTAGCAGCAGCAGCGTCCCATTCATTCTTGCGTTATCAGTCAGGTTTTGTGCACCAAATTATTGCGGGTGTTATTGCATGGTGACTCTTGCTGGTGTGTCGCCGCTCTTGGTCTGGCCGTTTTCTGGTTTTTGGCGCTATTGTTGACTCTGTTCTGTTCAACCCTTGTCTGGGGCTTCCTTTGTCTCCTCATGCAGTTGGGACGGGCGTGGGTTGTCTGGTTTCCTGCTCAACCATACATTATTATAAACCGGCAGCTGTCATCACGGTACCACTGCATGTGGAACATGCCGATGTGGCTGGGCCCACATGTGTGCATGCACGCGCTGTTGCAGATCCTTTTAGCCGCTTGCAAGGCGTGTGTGATGGCAGCTTTTCCATGATGTAAGAGCCTTGACTTTCTGGGTGCACCAGCATTTCCCAGGCAGCTGTCAAGAGGCAGCCGTTCAGATATTTGCACTATGAGAAGACTATATGCGGTAACACCCCTTCCGTCCTGCAAGGCAGCCACAGGCTACAGCGTTCGCAGGCTGCGGCAAGTTGCGGGCGCGTACGAGCGGCGCTTTGCAGCCGCTGGCGGTTACAACTCCACGTCCAGCACACACGGCCGCATTGCCTGCGTGACGCGCGCCAGCGCCCTCTCCACGCGCCCCCGCAGCCCCTCGTCGTCGCATGAAACCTTGGCGTTCCCGTGGTCAACCACCAACCGCGTCCCGTCAATCTCGAACCGCATCTCAAGGCTCGACGCGTCGACCTCCACCTCCGCCCCGAACTGCGCCCGCAGCAGCGCCGCGCACAGCGCCATCTCCGCCGCGAGCGCGCCCTGCGTGTCGCCGGCCGCGAGCGCCGCCGCGCGCGCGCCCTCGGCCGCGGCGGCGGCGGGCGGCTCGCCGGCGGCCTGCAGGATGACCGCGATCACCGCGTCCGCGACCATGTCCCCCACGGCGCCGCCCTGCCACTTGACCACGGCGTGGCTATCAAAGCCCAGCCCAGGGTTGGCGCGGCGGTAGCCGACGACCACCGCATCACCCACCACGACGGCCTCGTCAAAGTCGTCGCCGTCCCGCTGCTGCTGCTCCTGCTTTTGCTGCTGCTGCTGTTGCTGCTGCTGCTGGCCCGGAGGCCCCGCATCTGCTTGCTGCTGCTCCTCTTTGCTCGGCGACCCGCCGCCGCTGCTGCCGCCGCGGCTGGGTGCCGTCTTGACGGGCAGGTGGCCTGCGCCCTCCACGCCCTCAAACATGACCTCCAGGGCCAGGCGCAGCGCACTGAATGGCTTGGCAAATGGAATGGCCTGTGTTTGTTGAGGGCAGGGATGCGCAGACGAAGGCGTGGCCACTTAGAGTTGCTTCACTTTCAGCTGCGCCGCGTGCATGCGAGCGCACGGAGCGCGCACACCGCCGCCCCTTTCACACAAATCCATGCTGTGTCGCTGAGTCCAAGGCTGCGCCCCTGCTCTGCTTCACACCGCAGCCCTGCCCCCTCCCACGCCTCACACACCCTGCAGCGCACCGCCCTCCGACCTCACGCACGCCGGCCGCCCGGCCCACCTGCTTGTGCATGACGCGGCCCGTGTTGAGCTTTGTGAACGCCGGCAGGTCCTCAGGGTGCATCACCAGGTCCCGCCGCCCCCTGCTGACCAGCACGCCCCTCACCGCGTCCCCCGCCTTGGGCGCGCCCTCCGCCAGCCGCCCCACCACGTGCGCCGCCCGCCGCGGCGCCGCCGGGATCGACACGGACTGCACGACCTTCGGCGTGTGCAGCTGCCGCGGCACGCCGCTCGCCGCGGAGGCGCGCTCCAGCGCGGAGCGCAGGCGCATCATCTCCCCGGCCTCTCCGTGGACGAGGACGACGTGCGGCGGCTGCAGGGCGGCGACGAAGCCAGAGGTCTGGTCGTAGTCCGCGTGGGCGCTGAAGGAGATGGCGTCGACCGACATCCGCAGGGGCACCTGGGGCGGCGGGGGTCGGATGGGTGCGGTGAGGGCGATGGCCGGGGGTGGATGGAGGTTAAGAGGAGCAGCTGGCTGGTGTGCAAAGAGGCACATAGCCCGTGGGGGACAGACAGCGTGCACGTGCGCAGGCACTTGCAAAAGTGCTGGTACAGGGGACGTTGTTGGGCGTCAGACAGGTGGCAGGAGGGCGGGTCATGGTGCGCACCCTGACCCCGGCCTTGGTGAGCACTGTGGTTGGGTTGCTGAGGATGTCACGCGCCAGGGTGCCCTGGGCAGGTGGGTGGATGTAGGGGGGATACGCTGAGAGTAGCCAAGGCATGTAGGCAAATTGGAGGCAAACGCCGTCTCACTCACTCACTTACTCACTCACTCTCATACACACACACGCACGCGCACACGCACACGCTCAGGCACACTTACACTCACGCTCACACGCACAAACACGCGCACACGCACGCCCTCGCGCGCGTGCGCACACACACACACACACACACACACACACACACACACAAACACACACACACAAACAAACACGCGCACACGCACACAGCCACCCACCTGCACCGCAAAGTCGCAGATGATGACGGCGTTCCTCTCGTTCTCGCACCACTGCTCAAACAGGTCGCGGCTGAGCCCGCTCTGCAGCATGGAGGGGGTGGCCATCACCACAAAGGGGCCGTCGGTCTCAAACTGGCCGGCACCCTTGACCACCTTCACGTGCTTGAAGGAGAAGGGGTTGCCGTCCTTGGAGGTCAGGCCCAGGGTTGGGGTTGCAAGGGGGAGGTGAGCAAATACGGTAATAAGTAGACGGGGGTTCAAGGCTTGATGGGGAAACGTGGTCATGTAAGGGTACCCCGAGAACCAGTCAGGGCGTGGGCTGGCCCCTGCCCCACACTCGACTCAGCGCTGCGGGCCCTGTCCTTCACCCAGATAAACCGCTGGCCTTCAATGCTGACCCACGCACATGCTGGAAGGCTGCTTTGACGTCCTCGTTCATCATTTCGATGTAGGTCTGGAACACGGTCAGGGCCTTGCGGGCGATGCCTAACGACGGCGGCAACGGGCCAGAGCGGTTTATGCGTTGATAGGTTTGCTGCGCACGGGGTGAAGGGCCTCTGATGCAGAGAATCGGGGTGCGCGCGTTAACTGAGAGGGGAGGGCAGGGGAAGCAAGGCAGGTTGGCCTTGCAGGAGCCACGCTCAGTGCATGCCACGCTTGGCTAACCCGCACCACCCTTGAAAAGTGCCACGTACCGCCGGTGCGACACTCAGCGAGCGTTTGTAACCTCGCAGGCCTGGCTTTCAGTCCAAAACAATTCCGGGCGCCCCAATGCATACGCCATTCAACCCCCAACCTCAACTCACCGGAAGCTTGGTAGATGGGAAATTGCTGCAGAGCCTTGTTGCGGCTCCAGTGCTCGTCAAGCATCAGCAGGAGCTCCTGGGGAAGAAACGAGGGGGGCAAGTCAGGCGACAGGAAGCGTTGGTTCAGGGGGCACGTCCAGCTTGAGGGCAGCAGCGGCTACGCTAGCTGCGCTCCTTACGCACGAACCTCTGCACTTGCTGCCGCGCGGCACCACAGGCCCCACTCATCTGCACCCCCTGCACGAGGCCAGGACCGCCTGAGGCCGCCCAGCCGCGCCCACCTGTGCGCGCCCCAACGCGACGATGGGCAGCAGCACGCGGCCGCCCCTGAGCAGGGTGGCCACCACCTTGTCCAGGAATCGCTTCTCCCTGACCTCGCGCGCCAAGTGGCGCGACACACCATAGGTCGACTCCACGATCACTGCGGGGTTGCGTTGGGGTGGCATGTGGAAGTGTGGCTGCAAGCTGCGTGCGCCAGCACATGAGCGTGTCGTTAGACGTGGGGTGTCCTGACGGCACGATATGAGGAGCGTTAGCAAGCCTTGGACAGAAGGAAGCGTGGGCCAAGCTGCAGCGCTTTGAGTGCACGAGTCAGGCACCCGCCTGACAGGCACTGAGGAAGGGGCAGGCCAGGAAGGCAGCGCGGGCCGCCCTGCACAGTGAGCATGCTGTATTGTGCCCGGGTGGTGCCTCGAGGAGCACAGCCGGCAGGCGGGGTCTCACGAATGTCGGGCCGCAGGTGCGGCGTGTCGGCGCCAGGCAGGTGGCGGTCTGCCACGCGCGAGTAGTCCCCCGTGTAGAGGGTGCGCACGCCGCCGATGTCGACGGTGAACATGGCGGCGCCCAGCACGTGGCCGGCGCGGTGGGCGGTGACCTGCGTGTACGCAGGTGGGCACGTGCTGGGCAAAGGGGCTGTATGTGGGGCAGGTCGGGTGTGGGACTGCGGCCAGTGGATGCCACGCGGAGGGGCTGGTTCAACAGGTGTGCTGGTACGTGGCAGTCCGCCCTAAGGGGGCGTGCGCAAGGAACACGGCCGTGGGCGCGTGCACGGCCAGCCTCGCGCGAGTAATAGCCTCACGCAAAAACCTGTACCTGTAATAAAGCTGTTCATTGCACACACGCACGCACGCACGCACACATGCACGCGCGCGCGCGCGCACACACACACACACACACACACACTCGCATACCCACCCACCCATTCATGCACACAAAATCACACACACACACACACACACACACTCTGTTGCACGCACACACGCATGTGCCAGGACCCACCTGTATGCCATCGATGTCAATTGTCTGGTCAAAATCCAGCACCTCGGCCCTGGCCATGGCCGCGTCCAGATCAGCCTCAGAGTACAGCGCCTCGTCAGCGCTGCCAGCAGACACCCGCACAAAGTCCTGGGGGGCGGATGCGCACGGGCAACGCAAGGCATAATGTGGCATGCCGAGAAGGCAGATGCTTGCAGTGCTGAGTGGGGACGTGTGGCGGCTTCACGATGGGCTGCGCGGCACGAGCGAGCTGCGGCTAGCTGGCTGGCGGGAAGCGCACCTGGAGCAGTGTGTAAAAGATGGCCTTGGTGGGGTGCGTCATGATGAGTCGGCCCTGGGGTAGTTTATTCGTTTGGGCGAGGAGGAAAGGTGTTTGCTGAAACGGGTGGATGTTGGCACAAGGAGGATGCAAAGTGGTGCAAGGGCGCCCGCGGCTTGATGATTGTCATGCGCCATAAGACGCGAAGGCACCTCACAATGCAATACTGCGATACAGCTCGCAAAGCGCTACTGAGCCATGCGTGCATGCGCCGGTCCGCGGCTCCCCACTGCCGCGCACAAGCCCCGCCGTTCGTCCAGGAGTTGGCGAGGGGGGCGGGGGGGTCGGCGGCAAGCGGGGATTGTTTAGTAGGCGGCCGGTGTGCGAGTGCAGAAGTGGGGGATTTTTTGTCACCTTGAAGTTGGTCTTCCCTATCAGGTAGGGCACCGCGGCGCAGTGGTCGAGGTGGAAGTGTGTGATCAGGGCCACGTCGATCTGATCCAGCTCCACCTCATCCAAGAATGGCAGCGACCCCAGGCCAGAGTACCCTGGGTGGATCCCGCAGTCGAGCATCACCCGCTTGCCCCTGTCACGCGAAGCGGCGGGGGATGTGGTGTGGTTGGTGTGAGCGTGGCTGGATCTTGATGGGAGGCGGTGGTTGCAGGTGTGAGGCGTCGGCATCGACCTTGCAGTGGGCCGCGAGCATCTGGGGTGGATCGGAGGGCGGCTGCTCAGGCGCAGTGTAGTGACAGGTGAGGAGCAGAATGGTGATGCGTGTTATGCCGGCGCGGCCCGCTGTCCCCTTGCATTGGGGGCTGTTTGGCTGCCAGTGGGGGGTGTGGTGTGTGCCGCACTGCAGCTGCTAACAAACGCGCAGGATTGCCAGCTGTGCGGCTGGTTTCACAAATGCTGCTGCGATGTTTCTGGCTTGATTGGTGACTGCCGTCATGAAGCAGCAGCCCTGGAGCAGACCGGCCTTGCATTGACTGACGGCAACCCTGACAAGGGCGGTGCAGAAGCCTGCCATGCACAGCAGTGACCGTTGGAAACGTAGCGCCTATCTGGCTACGCTTGTATGCCTTTCAGCATTGCTCCACTGCAAGCCCAAGATGGCTCCACTGCAAGCCCAAGATGTGCATGGTACCACACACATGTATTCAACGATGATGCAGGAGCGCCCGACCTCCTGTCCTGCGCCCAGCGGCGTGATCTTGACGACTGCACCCCCCTCCGCCGACAGCGACGCCGCGGCCTCCAGGACGTCCAACTCTTCCGACGCCTTGCGTTTGCTCGCCATCGTCAGCGAAAAATCTGTTATGTTGCCACTTAAAAGCGACGCCGACCCCTAGAAACAATAGCATAACCAAGCCTCCCCGCCGAGATCAGAATCTGAATGTATGAGACTGGGCAAGCTGACACAAGGAACACGTATCTACCAGGTGCTGCATTGATTGACCATGTACTTCACCATATTTGTATTCCGTTCGGAGTGGTTTCAGGACGTGCCCTACAGTACATCGCACCCAGTCACCCTGTGCTTTGCGGGCAAACCCGCTGTCTGTGGCAGCAAGACCAGTTCATGCAGCGTTCGCACTACCCATACACTGATGCATTCAAAGTGCTGATTGCAATCGTGAGTAGCACAACCCAGAGACTTTGCAAACCACCAGCCCGGCAGGGGAGGGGGGTACAGCGGGCACTCCGTCTACAAAGGCTGTCGGGTGTGATCGTGTTAATACAAGGTTATTGATGAGGGTGCAGTTTGCCGCAACCTACTTTTGGAACAGCCGCTGCGCCCAAATGGCGTGCGGGCGGTTCGCGCTGGCGTTGACGCTATCCATCATGCTGGCCCTAGCGTCATCCGGCGCCAGCGCCGCAAGCGACGCCTCAGACGGCAGCATTGAGTCCGCGTCGGTGGCCGAGGTGGCTGGCGACGCATATGCGGAGGCCGAGCCACGGGGCGTGACAGTTGTGCTGCCACGCGAAGTGGCATTGGCCGCTGCGAAGCTGGCTGCCAACACCGCCGCCGGCCTGCCGCCCAGCAATGAGGCCTGGCTGGCTTTCGCGGCGTCCATCAGCGCCAGCCTTCCGCCGGAGCTCACCAAGGGCCCGCCAGAGAACGGCACCGTCGCGCAGATGTGGGCGTGGTGGGACGCAAAAGGCAGGAAGGCGCCCGCCCGCGCGACGCCGGCGTTCAAGTGCCTGGCAGAGGCGTTCGAGGGGGCGCCCCGCGACAAGAAGGTCTACAGGTTGGCCTTTGCACACGACAGGGGAAAGCATGCGTACGGGCACGGCGAGCCGATGAACCTCCATGCCTCTACCGAGGCCGCACGGCACCCTGCCAATCGACATGTGGCACAGTTGCTGAGGCACGTATCGCGCCGCCTGCTGGGCCCCAGCTGCGCCCATGGTATTATCATCAGTACCTGCCCCGCCGCGCCGCACCACGCAGCCAATATGGGGAGGATGGGATCATTGAGACGATATTCAGCTGCATCAAAGAGAAGAACAAGGACTACGTCGAGTTTGGCACTGAGGATGCCAGCGAGTGCACCACGCGCTACCTGCGCACACAGGGCTGGACGTGAGCGCGGCCGCACGGGGCGCGAAAAGGGGCGGGGGGCACTGGCACTGATGTGGTAGCCAGCCCTCACCCGTGGCAAACGGTGTTCTCCTGCGGCCGGACGAGCGAATGCAAAGCAGGGGCAGCAGATCTGCTTGCTGCACACGTGCCGATCCTTGTGCGATGCACACCTCAGTGCGCACCTGATAGCTCGTTGACCATATCGCAGGGGCCTGCTGATGGACGGGAGCCATGAGAATGCGGACATCAACCTCCACACAGAGTGAGGCGCCGCGGGTGTCTGTCAAGCGCTCCGTTGCCGAGCGGGGGCACGCAGAGTGCAATCCATGCTGTTTGCACGCTGCAAGCACAAGCAATACTACGCAGTACGAACCGGAGCCATGCGGCATTGGTGCCTGCGCAAGATACGTTCATTCAGGGGTTGACATTCATCTTTCGCCCCTGTATTTGATTATTCTCACGCTGTGGTTAATCCACATGCTGTCCTCAGCATCGCCTCTACCATCCACGTCCAACACACACTCACACACACACACACACACACACACACACACACACACACACACTCCCTCTCTCTGTTTCTCTCTCCAAAACAGATACATGCGCAGCGAGAACATCGTGGACCTTTTCAAGAAATACAATGTGTCGCACCCGGTGTTTGACCACCTCACGGCCGACATTGACTTGAACACATTTTGGGTGCTGCGGGCCATCCTGGACGCCGGCTACCGCCCCCGTTCCGTCGCAATCGAGTACAACAGGTGCACCCATGACCCTGTTTCCAAAATGCCGTCTTTTTGGTTCTTTGCTGGTGCTGAGTGGCAGTTGCGCTTCAGAGGGTCCCCCCTCTCCCAAGGTCTTTGGTGCCTGGCTGCCACGGCGTCACTCTGAGGTGTCAGCGAGTTGATCAGACTCGCCATACTCAGGGCACGGCTCTTGTGAAGTATCTGGGATGGTGCGACAAGCCCTGAATAAACTGCCGCACTGGATTGCCTGGCCAGAGCGCTGACTGGGGAGGGCATAGCGCAGGGACGTGGGCGACCGCCGTTCAGCCAGGTCCACCAATTACTGCCTCATCTGACCGCCACACCTGCACGGTGCCCACAACTGCAGGAACTTCCACCCAAACCAGGCCTACACAACTCTTGACATGCCGCAAGAGGTCTGGGCAGCGGTGAGTGCCACTTGACCACAACCAGCAGATGTGTGGGTGCTGCGTGGAGTTCGGAGCTGCCAACGTCTTCCGGGTGCCCGAGCCACAAACGCACTGTTTGCCGCCCGCCCCGCCAGTGGATAAAGCATGTTCTGAAACCCCGTTCGACCGTCCCCTGTCGTCCCACACCCACGCAGGGCTGCTACTTCGGCGCATCTGCGCTCGCTTACGAGCGGCTCATGCGCGCCTTTGGCTACTCGCTAGTTGCATTCGACATGGCGGGGGTCAACGTGTTTCTCGTCCACGACAGCGAGCTGGGCGCGCCCCTGCCCAACACCTTTGCGAGTGTGACGCCGGACTACACGCACGTTGGTTGGCACGCGCTCCACCCTCCTTGCAAGCAGATGGTCTGGGCGCATGTCGACGCGGCCGCGGGGTTGTCTCAAGTTGACTTCATGCGCCACATGCGGCCTGTCGTGCTGAGCCACGACGACGTACCAGGCGGGCCGCGCATTATGAAGGAAGTCGCCATAACCGGCGTGCTCGGCCTGCACCGTCAACGACGGCACCAGGGGGCTTCGCCGGCGCCAAATGTACGCCGGCGGCAAAGCCGAGTAGCTAATCAAGGGGTTGCCGGGCCCAAATCTGGGAGTGGGGGAGGCGGCAGTGGGGCTGAGCCTCACGACTGACAGGGTGGCTGGGGTGGCCCCCATAGGCGGCACGCTGGCCGGTGCTGGCGCCCACCAAGGAACGACGCGAGCACATCAGCACTTGTGATGTGCGCGGTTCTTTGCTCGCCTCGCCGTTTCCGCATGGCGCGGCCCCGCTTTGACTGCTTTGCATTGGTCTGCTAATATTATGCGTGTGACGCTACAGCAGGGCGCCGGGCGTTTGAGCTTGCCTTGATGAGTATTCCTTGTTGCTGCTTGCTAGCCCCATAATGGCCAAGCAATTGACCGCTTTTTGACGGCAAACTCACCGCTGTTGCGCACAATTATTGCTGGATTTACGTACGTATGTGGGTCCTTGATTTCTTTATGGGTCTTGAGGTTGCGCCTCCTGCTCCCTCGCGCGTGGTTAGTACGGACTTGCGTGCGCTTATGCATCAGCGCTGCAATGTGCCTGGCGCTATTGCGCAGCCGCAGCTGCAGCGCGCTCCTGTGCTGTTGGCGTGTTGAACTGTCCTGCACCGGCCACATCATAATGCAAGGGCAGAATGTCGGGCACACAGTCTGCACGCTGGGCAGCATTATCTGCATTGCCCACATGTGCACCCCTGGGCAAGCGGTGACTTGAACCGCGACTGTGCGTCGGGGCTGAAGGCTGTCTGGCTGGAGGCTCGCTGGCCGCACTGAACGTCCATGCGGCTGCTGTGATGCCACTGCTGTTGTTTGCTAATATTTCACCGGAGCAAGTCGGCAGACCCAGGTTGCTTAGACCCCGGGCATGCTCTTACCAGCCACTACTTCAATCATAACGCAAAGCGTGTAAGACCCCTTTGATTCGCTGAGTCCCACAAATGAGTGTGACAGTGTTCTCAACCTTGCGTGCTGTGGCACGCGTTAACCAGGGGTTGACCCCAGCTTCTTCAAGCAGACGGTTCAAGGCGCGCCTCTTCTGCGAGCTTCACATGTAACTTTAAGATCTGTTGCACTGCTGCCGCATGCGTAAAGTGGTTCATGGTCGCGCGCCATGTTCAAAATGGCGGAGCGCGTGTGTCATGTCACCTTCAGCGTCACCAGCCCTGGCACGACGCTCGCTACCGGGGATGGCCTGCACGTGGAAAGCGGGACACAACATGACGTACATGCCGTATAAACCCTTGTCGTGTTGCGTAGCGCGGCAGATCTGGCATTGCTCGCATCTGGCGACTCGATTCAGCGCATGCGAAGGCGCTCGCTAACAACAAAAAAAACAACAATAGTAGCTTCAAGTACCAGAGCCTCGCGGCACAAAATCGTGCAGGAGCTGCAATCACGCCCTTCTGCTGCCGCCGTGCCTGCTGCAGCTGCCGCCGCCGCCGCCTCGATAGCAAGGCTCTTTCTGCTTACTGGCTGCAGAAGGCGCTGGCACTTCATCCCTGCAGGTGACAAGCAGTCACAGCTCTCAGACCGCCCTGAAACAGCCCTCGAAGCTAGGCATGGCAGCCCCCATTCTCCGCGCTGAGCTGCAACTACACCAGCGCCTCAAAGCTGCCCCCTTACGACCGCTCTGAAACTTTGACATCCCCAACCCACACACCCCGAGCAGGATGAAGCTGCTTACCCACAACATGCTTGCTTGCACCATCAAGGGCGTGCAGAACGGCTTTCCCCTGAAGATACAGGCCGAGGAGGTCGTGGAGCGGGAAGCTGACTTTGACCCCGGTGAGGAGGGGGTCACTTGGTGACCCGCTGCGCGCGACCGGCACATACCCTTGGCGAGGGATCTTGATGAGCTTGGGTGGAGGCTGCACCGGCAGGAGGTTGTAACCAGCTCTGCTGGTCAAGGGCAGCTGGTGCGCACCGGGCGGGGCGCCCCACATCAGCACCCCGCGAGCCCAGCTGCTGTCGCTTACGTAGCGCCAGGTGGCACAGCCTGCCTCCTCGCTGCGAGAGCTGCCTGTTGGCACCTTCAAGCCGCTGTCTGGGCGGGCGCCAAGCTGCAACGCGCCGCCGCCGTTCTCTCCGCGCCACGTGGACGCAGACTTCCTGCGGCACATATTCCCAAAGCTGGAGTGGGCCGCCTTCCTAGAGGGCGCCCGCGCGGTGCGTAAGCAGGGGGCCAAAGACGCCCCACCCCGCGCGGCTGCCACCACGATATGCATCAGCCCATCTGCCCCCACACGGCCCCGCCACACCAGACTTGCTCCAGGCGCCGCGTCCCTGCATGCAAACAGCCACGCCTGCTGCTGGGCTCGTGCCACGCCACCGCTGCCTGCACCGCTCGTGCCGCCTGCATCACATCTATGGCGCCTAACCGCACCATCGTCGCCGCGCGCAGCTCAACTGCGCAGAGGGACTGCCAGAGTCTGTCAGTGAAGACACCCTGCAGGTGCTTTGGACGGGGGACAGGTTTGGTGGCCTCATTGCAGCCCCGCCCCCCTTTGAAACCTGGGCATGTGCTCGTTGCACCGCACCTCACCTTCAAGATGTGACACCATCGCATTGTTTTTCATTCTGCCCCCGCCGCAAGACGCGAGTCCAGTGGCGG